GACTCCAAGCACTGCAGCAGACACCACAACCACCGAACCGGAGAAGCATATGAATCCTCTCAAGCATATGAATGCTGTAGACAGTTGAATAGGAACCATACGAATAGGTTTACTCTCCTAGCAGTCAAACTGGAACAGCATACAATAAATCCTTCCCCCAATAATGAGACGACACTTCACTTTGAGGGTTAAACAGGAACTCCCTGTACTGTCACATACAGTCTCTTTTATTCCCAATCCACAAACATAGTACAGCCCACAGGGCGTTACAAAACAACCAATCACATCACAGTTACATCCCACATATTCCCTCCCCTTATCCTGAGAGGAAACTCAATTATACATACAGTTAAAACATACTTTCTACCCAACTTTCATAACTCCAAAACCATACATCACATTCACATAAAATTACATATTCACAATCAATCCATTCAGGGGAACAACATATTCAAAAATGGCACAAATCAGACAAGGGGTTCAAAAGTTAGTAAAAAGTCCTTTGTGACTAAATGAAGCATGGCTTTCTGGCCCAAACCAGTTTCAGAGTCTTCTATCCTGGAGATAAGTAATTCAATTATCTCCCAGGACAGACACAAGACTCCATTAAGCACATGGTTGCAAAAAGACACAAAACACTTTAAAATACATAAAGTCACATTTACACATAACACACAGACATTTCACATATCCCCAGATAGCTGGGATCTGAGTGCACATTATTAGATGAATGGCACTCAGATCACACAAATAAGCCTTTCTGCAGGGGAAATAAACAGTTTAACCTGCAGGGCCATAGTCCAAAGGGAGCAGGCGAGCAACCAGGCTTCTCCAGTTCACAGTGGCGAGGTTGGTTTCGCCACAGCTATCTTAACCTCAAAGTACCAGTGCTTCCAACCATCCCCGTATATTATTCAGATAAATAGCCAATTGCACCCACTCTCCCTCCATTCTAACTTCCTACTCTCCCTCCATTATAACTTCCCACTCTCCCTCCATTATAACTTCCCCCTAACTAGGCTGTACACATTTGGTGATTCAGGTGCAATCAAATAGCTGTCATTCACAGTGGCCTCACACATCACAGCATTATAGAGAAAAGAACAATTATCTTTGCAGTTGATGCTGCAGGAGGGTATCATCGAATAATTACTGCGTTTAACAGCTTCTTAGTACTGTAAATTGGATATTATAGATAGCAGTTCTTCAGAATCCTAACAAGCTGTAGGAAGTGTCTCACACTGTAAAAAGATATCGAGAGAAGGTCTATTAACTTATTCAGTGCTAGATTGAAGACCTGACATATTAATGCCTTTTCATCTAGAAAACAAAGGGTCTATTAACAAAACAGTGAAATCATTGTAAACAATGAAAATCAAATTGTAAAATGTAGGCCAACTCCGCTATATTCTATACATAGTTTAGCTCCTTTAGTCCGAATTTTGCAATTCTCAACAATGCACTGTCCAGTAGAGAATAAATCCTACACAGGGTTATTTGCAAGGTTTCCATTAAATGAGAATCTGAATGTCAAAATCCAGGTGTAAATTATCTAAAAAAATAATCCATTTGCTATAATTCTGAGTTTACATATCTAGGGCATACTTTTGTAAGGTCCAAATTGTAGTCATCATACAAATTGTCCAGTTTTGGAAATGCCAAACTGGATGAAATATATATCCAGACATATATCAAGCAGCATAATGCCAATATTTGTCAAAGTGAAGACAGATTCAGTTTCATCAGTCCAACAAGTCCAACATACAGATAATGTGCCCTTGCAGCCACTCCAACGGCCATTGACTACTTTCTAGCATATATAATCTTATTGTTACTGTCTTCAGGCACCACCATGAAAAACACCCACCAGTCACTAACAGTGGAAAACCCTGTCTTTAAGCAGTGCTGGGAAAACTTTACCCTGGGACCTTTCCTTGTTCATCCTCGTGAATCCCTCACACTTGGTTGCCCTCAATGGAAAGCTTCACCAGGAAACCTACACTCTGTGTCTCTGTAAAACACCCTGTACATTAGAAACACCAGAAAATGCTCAAATAGGTCATCAAGTGGCATTGCTCAATAAACATGTGAGTTCCTCTTCTCTTTATCACTCCTAATCTGTTCTTCCTCTCTTCTTTTTCTCCTAAAATACAAATGGAAAAGTATGGACTACTTTGTCTTTTGCATTTTCCCTCCGCTTGCCAAAACCTTCCAAAAGAAGAAGCTACCTCATCTCATAACACTATCTATGGTGGCTCTTGTGGTCTCATGGGATCCTCTGAAGACATTAGTGCTGTATGCACGAGAGCTGGTTCATGGCAGATGATTCGTCGGGAGTTGAAAATAAAAGATGACGGCACCTGCAAGGGACAGGATCAGGCAAGTATTTCTTCCCTCTGCTGTACCCCCAGATCACTGAATACCAACCAGCAGTGTCACTATCGAGGGTCTTTGCAAAATATGCAAAGACCCCAGAAGGTATATACAGAAAAAAATATAGAGTACACTCACACTATACAGACTTATCTCAAGCTCTATATTGAAGTCCTGGGCAGTACAAGACTTTCCTGCAGATATATGGATGAAGAGTGTATCAGACAGTCGTAGAATATATAAAGACAGAAAAAAAGTTTACATCCAATAAAGATCGACAGACAGACAGACAGATATATAGATAGATAGACAGCCAGACAGCCAGACATATAGATAGAGAGATAGAGTGGAAGACATGGATGATAGTATTTAAAAAAACATCTTGACCTGTTGATTAACGATGGACAAAAACATACATTAGCCTTTAGGCTTATGCACGGTGAGAAAATTTGTCCAAAACGTTCTTTCTGAAAATGTGTCTTTTGTAACAGGACATTTTTATTGTCGATCCTTTTAGACTGGTCTAGTGGCCATTTAGCTTGTTATACCCCAAAGCAAGAAAACCATCTACCATGTTTTACAGTATCATAAAATACTTTGTTTTGTTTTCTTTTTGACATGATAGTACAGATATTAGAGTCTTAGCACTTGATAAAGATGAGATATGTTACATTTTACTCTGTCAAATAAAATTTGCGGTGAATACATCTTTTTTGTTTTGAGATCAACTGCTCCAGATTTAAGAAACTGTTAAGCTGTGAACCAAAAAAATGGTGCATTGCGTCAAGACACAGATTATTCTGTCTTGATACATATATCTCATTAACTAGTGAAGGGGATTCTGCGTTTTGTCCTCTTTAACTGCTTACCTAGCTACACGTGGCATTATCCAATGCGGTAATGGGCATAATGTCGTTATCTGAATATACCAAAGAGGTTTCTGGATGGGACATCACATTTTAACCCTCTGCTTGACAGATTTGTTAAAAGGAACACTCTGCGTTTCGGAATAGGAAAATATCTGCCAAATGCCATACAATCTTGCCTTCTGCGTGGTTTTATAAAGAACCATTTGCACTGTGTCCTAAACAAGTGACAGATTTATTTAGTCACATATCACTATGATCTCTTTTTATAGAAAATCACCTATTTACAAAATAAAATCCATTTAGAACAATGGTTTTCTTAGTAAAATTCATTTTTTTCCCCCACGTTTAACTGACCCGCATCTAATTACAGTTTTCTCATATACTGTTACAGTGTATCTGGCATTTAATTTAGGCACAGCGAAGCTTGCTTGAGGGTCAGGGATTCCTCAGTCCTATTATTTCTATGGAAACGCTTGTCAGAAATATTTATTGCCTCGGAAGGAAAAAAAAAAAATAGGGATCTCTGCAGCAAAATAGGCAGACAAAAGATTGTTTAATAATGCAGGATTGCATGTTGCCTTAACCCAATCAGTACGAGCACTGCAATATAACAAACGAATGGAGGAAGGAAGGGTTAATGGACAGCTAACGTCTGTAAGCACATCCCCTGCACCGATGACATCATTAACATCTGGATGAGACGTCATTCTGGGAGGAAGGCTTGAAGAATGGGGTGGGTATGATCGAGACTTGTCAGTAGCTCCCATTTTCTACCCCTGCATCAGAAATGCATGCAAACAAATGGTGTGTTTTTATTGGGGAGATTTAAGCGATGATGAAAAAAAATGTTTAATACTGGTTTTCCTTACAAATATAAATATACGTAGCAAATTATATGTAATATTTGCACACAGATACATATATAGTATATATATAAAAATACACCTACGCACATATTTTATATATATATATATATATATATAAATATACATATTAGCAAAAAAAAGAGTGTAATGATGCCAAATGAGAAACATAATTAATATATTTGTTACAGTATTTCCCACCATATTTACAATCATGCAATTAACAAATATGATTACATAATAATGGTTGAGCACAGAGCCTTTAATTTTAATTATTTATTTTTTACCTTGTTAACTATACAAGCCATGCCTGTCTGTCTGTTTATCACTCTGTATCATAGATCATGTTTGTTTGTGTGTGTATATATGTATGTATATATCTATATATATATTCACAATTATATACAAATTTTATATACATATAGGGTGTAGAGCAAAAGAAAACTATAAGAAAATGTGCTTTAAATAAAATGTGATTATTTTTTTTTTATCCATACCATAACCATAAAATTGTTATTTTCATGTAGTATCTGTATTTCCCTAATTAGACACGGCACACAATGTGAATTCCCTGGTGTAGATGTTAAACAAATGCTAGTAGTTTGTAGGAGCTGACCTTAAGGAGGTGTGTCCTATACATAGAAAAAAAAATATTATGAATGAAATTCCAGAGGTGTGGTGTGTGAGCCTGCTGTAAGTGTCCCTGTCTGTGTGTGTGTGCCTATGCCTGTATGTGTGTGTGCTAGTTATTATTCTCCTCACAGCCTCTTCTGATTCACAGACTTGGGAGCTGATCATGAATATAAGCGAACACTTTGACGTCAGAGCTGAGATTTCTCAGCAGACCCAATGGGGCAAGAATATCAAGTGCAAGTCAAAGGCAGTTCTACTGCCAGCATTATTAGACATGCTAACCAAGGAATGAAGCTTAACAAGGACTGCACACTGGACTAGCACAGAGGGTACCCAACTGGAGAGAGGAGGCTGCCAGGAAGGTAGGAAGACCCCCAGTATCCCTGCCCCTGACATGTAGTCTATATACAAATGTATCTGTATTGAATGGTCCTTGCAGAATGAGGGAGTGGGCTTTGCCCTGCTATATATTTAGAGGTAGAATATGCTGTCTAATGACTTTATATGTTAATTTGTTCATCTGTTATATTTTTATAATCTATCTGAGCTGCTGCACTATGCAGTCTTATAAATAGAAATGGCTTGCTATTTAAAGATATCTGGCTATAAATATGCAGAGATGCACAGTTGCCTATACACCTTCCTCTATGGATATATGTCAAGGCTCAGAGGCATGGTTTGGACCTTAATTCCTGTAATAATAAATATATTCTTTATAAACCCCAACTTAGCCTGCATGTACCTGCACAGACCCCATGACGTCTTTAATGTTGGCTTTTTTTCAATAAAATGTAAAAAGGAGGCTGAGCTGTCTGTGGGATATTGATACATTAAGATCGTGCACTTGCTGCAGTTCAGGCCTTTTGGAGCTGGTGTTTCAGTGACAGAGGTCTATAGGACCCTTTATAATTCAAAGCGGACTGCAACTCCCACAATGCACTAATCAGCATGATGGGAATTGTAGTGCACAGGTACATTTTTTTTGATGAAGTGATTTTCGGGGAGGGGGTTGCAGGCAGTCTATTAATTCACTCTTTAGTTTTGGGGGGTTTGCAAAGGGGTCCACTGAAACATCAGTGATCTCTGCAGTGCTATACTGTGTTACAATAATTGCTGTGTTTTATGATGGGGTGAGTGACAAATGCAGCCACTGTGTCTTATGTATTTTTTTTCCTTTTATTTTTTTAATACTGCATTTATTTCTTGCCTGACAAGGGACCCTGCACTGCCATGAGGCAAATAGAATGTAAAAGATACATGTTAATAAAATCTGCCACTGGTTGTATTTTCTAACCTTATCATGGAGAAATCCTTTGTGTTCTGAGTAATCCGAAAGACAAATAGATTATATCCTTCCCAGGTTCTGGGTAAACTCATGCTGACATCCAAGGATGTGATATTCCATCAGAGAAGGTTATTATGAGGCTTATTGAGGGATCCATTGTTATAGAGCTATATATACCATAATTTTCAGTTTTCACGTGCAGCTCAAGTGCAGGCGTAAACTATGTAATCATCTCAGTAGAAAGAGGCAGGCACAATGTATACAGGCAGACTGCTTCTCCTCTCTCACCTTGGGTAATGAGAAAGGAGACTGCAGACTCAGGGTACCTGGTTCCCTGCATCCTGAGCCCAGCAATACCAGGATGTGGGGCTGTAACTCATTCACTGGTAGTTTGCCCTGCAGTCCTTATGTCATGCATTTTTATATAACCAGAACAGACTGTTGCAGGGGATACACAGCCCAGTAAAGGGTAACCTTTGGTACTGCAGCTCTTACGTACTACATCTCGCTCAGCACTGTGCCAGTCATTCGGCCAAGGAACACACTTTTAAAGAGCTGCTATAATTCACAAAGCACGTGGTTGTACTTTATAGAATTGCATTAGATCCATACGTTGTGATAGTAAAATGGCAAGCGTGTGCATATAATACATATACTTGCTTAGATCATTGTTTTCCCATGGCGTACAAAAAAATAAAAACAAAATACAAATACGGCCTCTTAATATTTGGCGGGATATGGATGCATGCACATTTGCTCACTTCATTGTGGCAGCCATCTTGGAAGAGGGAAGTGCTAGCTTTGGGTTACCATAATATTTAATCTATACCGGTTACTGTTGATTTTGTCACCAATATAGGGAATCTTGTTATCCTCATCTCTTGTGGATGGCAAGTCCTTTTTGAATCCAGGTTATTATTTTGTAGGAAATATATATTGCATGATATTCTGTCCATGCCTTCAGCGAGGTATATTCTAAAAATTAAAAATTTGAATGACATCCCCCAAATAAGTCTCCACTGGTTAAACATCAGTGGAATGCAGACCACATTCAATGCATCATTTGAAATGCAAACCACATCCACTGCATTATGGGAAATGCAAACCACAACCCCTGCATCATATCTGAACATAATTAAAAATGCAAAACACAACTGCTGCACATTTGTTGAGCATAATAGGAAATGTAGATCGCATGAGTTGCATCATGACAGAGAAAATAGAGTAGTTCCAAAGGTTAAACGCCAATGACGTGTTCCATCACAACAGTCTAGCAGTGATTGGACATGTCAGAGGTTACCTATCTCTGCTTGGGAGGCTGCAACTACTACATTTGTGACTAGTGTTGCTTTAAAAGTTACATATTTCAAATTGTAGGCCAAACTAGTGCAAATTGAAAACTCCTCTAGCTTATCTATATTTCCTAATATATTGTTTTGGCCCAATTTGTAATTACCTGGCCATTCCTAGTTTGGTGAATAACCAATTAGTCTGATGTCTAATTTCTAGATAATGGTTGAGGAATCCATCAAATATTTAAGTAACATTCCCATCACTATAACCACTACCGTGGTCTGTACAGGTTATAGAGCAAGGGGTGTCCTGGCACGCCCACCACCATTGTAATGCATTTTAATAATTGTAAGAAAATAGTTGAAGGTGTTCAAAAAACACAGAAAACTTAAGTGACCACTTTCATGTCTTAGATTGGAATCTAGAATAAATAAATCTAGAATAAAATACTGTCCATCTGGAGTGCCAAAGGGATAGGCAACCTTCGGCACTCCAGATATTGTGGACTACATCTCCCATAATGCTCTTACACCCATAATGCTGGCAAAGCATCATGGGAGTTGTAGTCCAAAACATCTGAAGTGCAGAAGGTTGCCTATGTCTGGTGTAGTATATAACAATTCATAAATATACACATATATGGGTTTAGTATCCAACTCACATATTCCTGAGCCACCTATCTCCACTACTTCAGAAAGAGAGCTTCCGGCTCTTTGTCTGAAATAATCCCAGCTGTGCTGGGCTTATCTCTTTGGCTGAAAACAATCTCTCCAACTAAAGTGGAGGTTTGGAGCTGCCCCCAGCAGAGCCCATATAAAAAGTAAAATCATTCTAATATGTATTGACTGCACTCCTGGCACCATAACCATCACATCCCGCTGTAGTGGTTATAATGCTTGGATCAAAGAGCTATAAATTGAATATGAATTTTGCAATTGATTTCAGGTTCCCCTGCATGCCATAGACTGAGCCTTGACAGCTTGAGCTGCAGTTTGCCTGTAAACTTGTGATTAGCCCTACAAAGCCTTGTATTGGAATTTATATTCATCCTAGATCATATTAATGATGCCAATTTTGTTTGTCTCTGCATGCTTCATCCCTTTTATCAACATGCTGTCTTTTTTTATCTTCTTTGAAGTGCAGCAATGCTTCACCAACCTTCAGCTATAGCTATGGGTCACCTACTACATCTCCACAATACCTCCTCCGACAAGATGTCTCTCCATCACCAGGAACCGTGGGACACGAATACTTCCGCAGTCACTACGTCTGACCTCTTCCTGGATGAAACTGTCAACCCATGGGACATCATCCTCTGTGTGACAGGAACAGTCATGGCTTGCGAGAATGCCATTGTTATTGCTATTCTCTTCTACACGCCCAGCTTACGTTCCCCCATGTTCATACTCATTGGCAGTCTGGCACTCGCAGATCTGCTTGCTGGTGTGGGGCTCATTATGAATTTCATAGTGATTTATGTGTTTAATAATGAACTGGCCACTTTAAGTTCCGCTGGACTGCTGCTAGCCGCCTTCTCAGCCTCTGTGTTTAGTCTTCTGGCCATCACAGTGGACAGGTACTTATCACTTTACAATGCCTTGACCTACCACACAGAGCGAACACTGACCTTCACATACGTGTTGATAATTCTGCTATGGGCTCTGTGCATCTGCATTGGTCTGTTACCCATCATGGGGTGGAACTGTGTCAGGGACCAGTCTTCATGCAGCGTGTTGAGACCAGTTACTAAGAACAATGCTGCTGTTCTTGCAGTGTCTTTCCTCTTGGTCTTTGCTTTGATGATGCAACTCTACCTGCAGATCTGCAGGATTGCATTTCGACATGCCCAGCAGATAGCTGTGCAGCACCAATTTATGGCCACCTCCCAAGCTTCCAGCACCAGGAAGGGGGTCTCGACCTTGTCTCTTATTCTAGGCACTTTTGCACTCTGCTGGATTCCCTTTGCTGTGTATTCCCTTATTGCTGATTCTAGTTACCCAATGATATATACCTACTCTCTGGTTTTGCCAGCCGCCTGTAATTCCGTCATCAATCCTATCATCTATGCCTTCAGGAACCCTGATATCCAGAAGTCTCTGTGGCTTGCTTGCTGTGGTTGTCTCCCTCACAGATTCTTATCTGGGCAAAGGACTTCCAGTGATGTATAGAAGCAGGAGTATCCTGAAGAATTACATTGGAGAAGGACTTGTGTAGAGAAAAAAAGATGTCAAACATTGTTTTATTTTTACACTTAAAAAAAAAAGAAGAAAATATATATTGCTTTAAGTTGTGAAAAACATTTGAAAAAGCACTTACTGTTTTTAATGTTTGTCTTAAAGATGAACTTGCGTTTGGTATGGGCATGGTCTAGAAATCCACACACATTTTTAGAGAAGACCTCATGAGCTGTAAGTCTGAACAGTGTGAACCTCTTTCATGTCAAGTTGGTCTGCAAAAATGTTTCCATGCTGACTTCCTTGGCATCAAATGGGTTAAATATAATGTTGCATGAGGCTCACTCCAACTTATCTACTAAATGGTTTCCAAAGGTTGGGTTAAGTTATAGCTATTTATTTCATTTTTGAGTCATGGTTTACAGAAATGTTTATTTAACTAATGTGCGTCCATTCCTAACAAAAATATTGAGACAATTAGCACAAAGTATAAAAATGTGCAATGTACATGCTGGGTAGCAGCCGAAAGCCTTCTGACTCTCAGATGCCTAGATAAACATTTCTATTTTGTCCAGATTGAAACTTGGCCTAGTGTCTGCTATCTACTACAAGTAGTGAGACAATGAAAAAACAAATAACAGTGATTTGTATTTATGAATGCAAATCTAGAGGAATTATTTGACAAACTGCTAATTTTTGAGTAACTACTCTGTAATCAAGTGGAATGTCTCTATATGTTCGTTCAGGGTCAGTTTTTCTTGATAAATGTGGATTTGTATGTAGATTGATTATGTAACGAACGACAGTAATTTTATTAGCAAGAAATATGATAAAACAAATATATACAGGATGTAATCAGAATTCATCATAAATCTCAGCACTTACTTAACCTGTAAGATTGATCCCACTAAAATATACACAATTTATATCCTTGGACAGTTTTTAAAGAGATCCAACAAATGTGTTCTGAAGAATATGTGGAATACAAAATAATGCTAGAACGTCTTTCGGCACATTATTTTTAAAACATTGGTATGATGCGAGTATGGCATCATGCTTTGAATGAAATCCAGATTACATGTTAAAAAGATACCTGTGAGCTGTATTTTAATTTTTAACCAGTGACTTCTCCAGTGCCATATTGTATTTACACACGTGGCCATCCATATGTATTGCAGTATTTAAAGTTACACTTCAAATTCATATTGTTCGCTAAAAGAACAATATAATGCAAATGCACAACAAGAAGTATTCTTATGTTAAGGACACTTTGTAAGATTAATGACCAATTAACATGAAAATATAACAGTAGAATCCCCCTTTACCTGTAGCTCTGATAACGTGTGACATGACTCTCTCAGCTACATAATCCTGATGCACAGATCACTTTTATTAATACTAATTTAAAATCTTGCTATTAAAAGCTTTCCAGTAAAATTATTAATAATAACTCAAAATCTAAACACTTAGGTAAGTAAACAATTTGATTTTGCCACAGTGTCACCTTATTGTGACGTCAACAGTTTTCCTTACTTCTTGACCATGGAATTGCAAGTTTCCAAACCAAAATAGCTGATCTGGAGCATGATTTTTTCAATTATGCCCAAATTTGGATTGTTTCCCCATTTTGGATAAATATTTGCATTTTACTGGTCCATCCTCAACAATCAGATACATCTGAAAATATGCGTGGACATATAGTATACACACCACAAACAAATATTGGGTTTAATATAATTACACTGTCTATGTATTTTGTAATTAGATCATGACTTTATGTCAAGGACTCAAATTTTGTTTCCATAGCCTTAAAGGGACAGTCGACCGTATGTATGCACTGGTATTTTTGTATTTTGGCTTACAAACTGTTATGAAAACAAGAAAGAAAAAAAAACTTTGACAGCTGCAGCAGCCACACATAGAAATAGTATTTTGCAGACAGATAAACTTTCTAATGCAAGACTTTGGGCATTTAAAACTAATTCTATCTATAATAAGACATTAAAAGTCAGCTTTTCAATTTGGAGACTTGCTTGAAAAACTACCGCAATTAGATCACTTTCCGATAAATTGTCACAGGGGAACTGTGTTTGTAAAAAGCCTGTTGAGCACTTTCTTTGGGCAGTACATAGAATTGATGTATTTAGCAGGATGTAACAGACCTAATATATGACTTACATTGATCGTTCCAAAATGCTGTACTATTATTATAATAAGATACCTGAATTCTAAAATAAAGTTCCCCTTTAATAGGTTTTGCTATAGTGTGCTAAATACCACACTGAATTTATTAGAATTTTTTATTACATCGATGAATTATTCATGGGAAGGCCTTTGATCCATTTTGTATGTTTTAGTAGCTTATTGATGTAATTCAATAATGTGCCTCTTAATGCAAATATGAACTTCCTTCTGTTGCAATTCCACTACAGGATGGGGGAAGGGAGCGGATCCAAGCACCGAAATAATTACAAGTATTTTAGTAACTCCAATTATAATCTGGGGGGAAAAATAGACATTGAAGGAGTATGTTGCATTTTTCTAAGAAATGGAGGCAGTTCTGACCAGTACAGCTGCTCTGTCTCCTTATTGAGAATTAGAAAGTGACCTGCATTTATCCATTATAATGAAACAGATGACTAGTTTTGAGCTGCCACTAAAAATGTAAGAATGAGCTGCACAACAGAGACTTAAGCTGTTATAGCTCCTAGTATTTTTACGACGTTGCTCCCAGCACACTCAGCAAGATATCGTTGGACAGCAAAGTTCCTAGAATGCAATACAATTGCAAACATTCAAGCAGTCCATCATGTGTATACAGAATACTAGCTGAGAGAGTTACATTAGCCAGCTGCAGACTGTGTTTGTAGAAACTTTAAATAACGTATATGTTCATGCAGATATTCCGCTGTTATGTAAAACTTAAAAGAAAGTCACAGGTGTAATCCGATGAGAGAAAGTCTTAAAGACTGAGTTACACTGATAATCTAGCCAAACTCCCTGTAATCTTGAGGGATTAGTTAAACCTCCCAGATATGAGCAGAGGCAGTTAGTTCTAGGAAACCAGAATTAGGACTAGACCCACAAAGAAAATGCAATGCTTGGGTTTTTAATGTCAAAATAGCCTAGCTAAAAAATATAGTGATATTATTGTTTTGGTTTCATTTTAATACATTCGGTTTTCAGTTTGCTACAATTTGCTCTTCGGTGGAAAAAAAATTGCAATAGCTCAGGTCTCTGAAAACATTGCAAATTAGAGCATGCTAAGAAAAAAACAATCTACGTTTTAACCCCTTAAGGACCAAACTTCTGGAATAAAAGGGAATCATGACATGTCATGTGTCCTTAAGGGGTTAAAGATGAAAAAAAATCAAAATGTAAAGTGTGTGCCAACATTGTAGATGCAAATTTTTGATGCTTTGATGTGTTTTCGTTTTTTTAACTAAACACCGAATAGCATAAATTTGAAAACCGGATTGCAAAATTTAGGGAAAAAGTGCTGATTTGAAAAAAAAAAAATCCTCAACTTAATTAAGGCAATAGCTTGGCTATTGAATATTGCAATATTGGCTTTTCATTCATTCCGATTTGTTGTTTATTGAATGAACCTAAATACTTAATTGTATTGAATTAAAAACCAAATTGTGCATTGTATATGGGCATTAACCTTTGTGCTGGTATAGTTTGAACAAAGCGAGAGCAGTGGCAACAGATTCATGTTTTTTTAGCTCAATAGATTCAGTTTTGAGGATGTGTTTAAAGTCGATTCCATTTTTTTCTTCCAGACACTTGTGCTTTGAATCCCCTATTGTTCTTCTTAAAACAACATTTAATGTGAATTTATTATGGTCATTCTATTGCTGCCATGTTATGAACCCAATGAAGGAATGATTTGACTGCTGCTTGTTTGTTAAGTATTTGCCTTTGTAAACATTGATCTGTATCCATACGACATTCAGGACATCCCTATGCATTTTGTTTTGTGCAGAAATCTCTAATTTTAGAGATTATTGAGTAAACCCGGATTGTCCTTCTTTTGCCCCAGATACTACTGGGCAACATTTTTTTGCATGACCAGGACGTTTACGAACTTCTAAGCAAAGTACTTCTTTCCTGGATGTTACGATGTAAAGCATGTACGAATTCTAGTCTATTTTTTTATCATTTTCAGATTTATTTATCTACTTGTCTAGTGTTTCTGGTAAATGAACAGAATCTATACAAGAGTTTTAAATTATTATTTTTTTTATATGAAGTTGTGTTAAATTCAGATGTGTGATACTTTTGGCAGCTCATTTTGTATCTGCAATAAAATGTAGCTTTCAAAATCAGATTCTTGTTGTGCTTTAAAAGTCATAAGGTTTAAATTCTTTCCTATCGGTCATGTTTGTCATATTTGTCATATTCAAGACAGCAACCATGAAGAATTAGAGGGCCTGATGGATACAGAGCTGCTTGAAAATACACAACGTTGGACATGCTGGGTGCTGAGCAGTGGCTACTCAAACAGAATGGGGTTCTCTGTGTACAGATTGGCTTAAGAACACATCTATGCTAATAGAGCTGGTTGATGAATATGTCAGTAGTCAACTGACCAGAATGGCAATCATACTTCATGGTTATTTCCAAAATATTTAATTATCAGGAATTTAAAATGAGTACAAAATAAATGTAAAATTTTAGGACAAAATTGCCATTTTGAAAAATAATTGATTTGTTGAATTTTTCAATTTGGCTGTTTGGCCATTTGGAATTCTGACAATTCATACGTTAGTAAATAACCCTGATAATGATAATGTGACTCCCTAGTCTTCAAATGGATTATGACTGATGACATGTTTGTCAATAGGCTTACTTACATTAGGGGCCTGCCTGTGGGTGGTTATCGTTAAATTTCTCAGTTTAACACTGAACGTAAGGACAGCGCCAGATTGTATTGAGGACTCCAGGCACTACAACCACTTCAAGTAGATGAAATAGTTAAAGTTCTTCCAGTGTCTCTTAGGCATGAAAAATATTTCCTCCACTCCAGGGTATATAATGTATGACGACATTATTCACAGCAGAGCAATCAAATCAAGATAACACAGCTCAGAAAAGCTTTCCAATGAGCTTTCTTTATTGAATTCCTTTACAATGAATCTAGAACACATATTAAGAAAACAAAAACATAAAAATAATCCCAAACACCAATACGTGGATAGACGATAGGATAAGGGAACACTAATCACTTAAAACTGGGATGTTTTAACTTCTGAGCAATCTACAAAGTATTCAACATGTAGAGGGAAAGAGTCAATGTTATATCTTTTTACTTGTCCACATGTTGGTTTTTGGGATCATTTTTGTAGATACTTTCTTCATTTTCGTTCTGGATTGATTTTAAAACAACTCACTAAAGAAGTTATCCTATTCCTAACTGTAATTCTAAATGAGTGCTGTGAGTGAATACCCAAAAGGAGTGATAAAGCATCTCAGTTCCAATCTTCAGGAGTGGCGATAAGAAAAGTGTTCTGTCATGGCTGAAAGATATGTTTGCAATATTGTAGCTTGTGCAGTGATTGACATCTAATGGGGATAAAGAGAGCTTGGAATTGAATAGCAACAAAGTATAACTCTAATTCTAGAAAAGAAAAGCTTTGATGATAAACATAGTAGGGGACCATCCCAGAGGGTCACAGAGGGGGTCTTCACAGCACTATTTATATACTCATGGTTGGAGAGGGGCAATATTCATTGCCATTACTGCTGTGTGTTGTAATGGCGGGATGTGGAAAAGTAGGAATAATTGGGAGGTTATTTATACATTGTATAGGTACCCACACAGTTTTATCTCAATGAAGTGGTCTGGGTGCCCAGTCTTCAACATTTTAACCCTGCAGCTGAATACATTGCCATTCTGCAGATTAGAAATGTTTTCAATTAAGGTTTAAGTGCCTCTAGTGGCTGTCACAAGTGCACTAGCCTTCCAGTGCTTACCTCTGGGAAAGCACTGGATTGGCTGAGATCATCGATCTCAATGATCTCAACCAAGGAAAAGAAACCTTTGGGCTAGACCAGTGCTGGGAGAAGGAGGATGTACTGGCCATGTGGAAATAGCAGCCATCTTGCTGGTTAACTGAATTTAGCCAACTTGGGAAGACACTGAGACACTGGTTATAGGTTAGGAAGCTGTGTAATGTGTATAGTAAGAAAGCCTTGTGTTGACTCATCCTGTATACCAGGGCCGCCATCAGGGGGTGACAACCATGACGGGCCCCACGTGTAGCGGCGGAACTGCCGCCGGTGCAGTTGCACTGGGGCCCGCACGCTATTGGGGCCTATTGGGTGGCCCATGCACTTAGGGCCACCCAATGGGCCCTATATCTTCATGGGCCCAGTCAGCGCTGTGGCTGTGTAATAGCACGACCGGGCCCCTTTAACAAAAAATTTAAATGCAGTCGCAACGCAAGTGCTGCTGGGAGGAAATGGTCACTTCCTCCCAGCTCATTCCTTGCGGGAGGAGAGCCAGCCAGACAGTGAAGAGGGAGAGCCGTGCCGACTCCCATGAGCCCCAGCCACCCTCCTGCAAAGAAAAGGTAAGAAACAGGAGGGTAAAAAATGAGCTGTGTGTGTGTGTGTATGTCTGGCAGTCTGTATGTCATTATGAATGTATGTATGTATGTCAGTATGCATGAATGTATGTCTATGTATGTATATATGTATGTCTGTATGTCATTTTGAATGTATGTCTGTGTGTGTATGCATGTATGTCAGTATGCATGAATGTATGTCTATGTATGTATATATGTATGTCAGTATGAATGTATGAAAATGGGGAATGGGTCTGCGCCACTGTGCACAACAGATAATGATATTAAGTCCAATAGGTTCTATATCATTGTATCCAAAGTTCTACTTTATACGATATCCAGAAGATGTCAATGACGTGGAGGATAATCCAAATCTATAAAAATAGAAGAGTTCTTACTTACAGTTGACAGAGCTCTGGTGTGAATGGCTTACAGCGGTATTATCCCCGCTTGCAGGATATACGGCAAGTGTCCCCTTCTATGTAGTGGCAGGTAACCAAGTTGGAAATAAAAATGGAAACAATAATGGTGCAGTATGTTCCACACATGCGATAAAAGATACAAAATATAATAAATACACTCACATTCGGTAGAGCTTCAGCTAGCTACATCGAAGAGGACACTTGCCGTATATCCTGCAAGCGGGGATAATACCGCTGTAAGCCATTCACACCAGAGCTGGTTGTGGGTGGAGACTGGAGCGGTACATGGAAGCAAATAGTGTTGCTGCAGATAAGCAAGTTGCAGTTTTCCTCACAGCGTTAGGTCAAACTGCCCTTGGCACAATCAGAGATCTAATTTCACCTTATAAACCGGCCTCTAGACCCCGGCCCGAGTTAATTGAAAAGTTACATGAGCACTACAATCCCAAGTCCTTAGAAATTGCAGAACGTTTTAAAGTCTAAAGTATGAGGCAGTTAACAGGAGAAGACATAAATACTTACCTGATTAGCTTACGTATGATGGCTGCTACATGTCAGTTTGGAGGCCACTTACAGACCGCTCTCCGTGACATGTTTGTTATGGGGCTCAATGACCCCACCATACAGAAACACCATACCCCGTACCATACAGTACTCACAGTACCTGATTTGACACTACAAAAAGCTACTGAACTTGCCAGTGGAATTAGCTTCCAAAGATGCTACGCTGCTAAAAGTGAGTCAGGGAGAAGATATTTTCAGTAATTCTTTAACTCAACGTACCAGACATCATTTTCCAAATCACCCTAAACCCTGTTTACGTAATTCCTCTGTCTCTGCTACACTAACCTGCAGGGCCGCCATCACTGCAACGGTTGTCATGGGCCCGGCGGTCCTGGGGGGCCCGGACAGCTCAGGTCGTCCGGGGCCCCACATTCAGTGGGTACATACCGGGTCGCAGGGGGCCCTGCGACCCCGGTATGTACCCACAGGGCCAGCCTCTTCTCCTGGGGGGCCCAGCAGCCGGTCACCTCAGGGCCCCCAGAGGCTGGCCCTGCTGACACCCGGCCGGCGCGAGGGAGCACTCTCTGTGTGCTTCCTCTTCAGCTCCCTCGCGCACCGTACTGATGCCGGAGCTGGAAGATGACGTCATCTTCCGGCTCCGGCATCAGTATGCGGCGCGCAAGGGAGCTGAAGAGGAAGCACACAGAGAGTG